TGAACTCAAGGCTTCCCTTGCGCTTGCCAGGGAAGCACTTACTCTACTAAGACATCTCACTAACCACTTCAGAAGTTATTTAACAAAATTTCTAACACATCTGTTCTTGTGAACAATTATATATGGCTAATAATTATATTAGAGCTATAGGTCTTAATCAAAAAGCTAAGAAGTGGATATATCAAAACTCTTTAGGGCATATGACCACTGAAATTTAAAAACTTAAAATTATGAACTTTTTTCTATTGAGAATTATAGGGCAGCCAAATATTGTTATATGAAGATGCATTGTTATAAAATTTTGATGCACTTGGGTTACTTCAGATATATTTTAAGCATTCAAAGAGAGGCAAGGAAACAGACTGGTAGATCAAATTCAAAGAGAACTGTTGAGTCTGAAAAAAATAATACAACAATATCTAGTAGCACAAGAGTCTTAAATTCAAACTGTGCTAGAAAGAGATATGAACACATCTCTGTTTCATCTTTAATTTGTACGAAGACCATAGACGACTCTTGCATTTTTATCTATTTAATTTTATATATTTACTGGTAGGCATAATCCTGCCTGCATCTTTATGTGATATTTCCTCTTGAGTATTGACCTGAAGCTGGAAGAACCATCTCCTTGACCTGATTCCCACCATTTGTTTGTTCTTTCTGCTGTTTCATTTCATCAGCATTCAAGTTCTACAGGGATGGCTTCACAACAAAAACAAATAAAAAGTTTAAGGATAAAAAAGTATGCATAGATAAAACAGAGACCTGGAATCGTGACATGAAAACAGAGAATATATACACTTTTGGGGGGAGCTGAAAAAGCAAAGGAAGGGTTTTTATTGTTATTGTTGTTGTTCTGTTTCATTTTGTTTTGCAAAATTTCTGATCATGAAAAGGGAGCTCTTAGATTTTAATGGTACACTATTACCAAGTGTTTAAACATGGTTATGGCATGGAGTGCAGCTGTGAAAACTGCGAAATAATTTTGTAGATGTTTCACAGGCTTAACATACACAGTAACATGAAATTTTCCACTCTGTCAATTTTTACCTGTGCAGTTTAAGGGTTTTAGATATTCACACTACTGTGCAGTCTCCAAAACCTTTTGCATATGTGAAATGATACACTGTCCACTAAATAACAGCTTGCTGGTGGCAGTATGGGTGCTGATCTGTAGTATTTAGTTTGAAAGCTCATTACTACCTGTGCTAATGACTGAGCCCGACATCACAATTCTCCAGGGCTAATTAAAATAGAATCAAGTAAGTTTAGAACTTATTGAGTAGAGACTCATGAATACCTTTGGAGTCACTCAACTTAAAATAAGATTTTTTTTTTGTTTGTTTGTTTGTAGTACAACGTCTACAGGGTCTCACTACGTAGATCAGACTTGTAGTAATCCTCCTGTTTTCATCCTCCCAAGTGCTGGAATTTCAGGCCCATACCACCACATGCATGTCTAAAATAAGAAATGTTAAAGACTTATAAATTGTCTTAGGGAAATGAATGCTGGTTTCCAGGAGAATTTTTCAATTGAACAAACACATAAATAAATAAATAAATAAATAAATAAATAAATAAATAAATAAAACAGCTTGTTACTGCTCCTTCTCCTCACCCTCTGACAGCTACTTTTCTACTTTCCATTGCTACCCATTTGGCTGCTCTAGGTGCTCCATTAAGTGGTACCAGGAAGTAATCTGTGACTGGATTACATCATTGAGCATAATCTCGTCAATGCTTGTCAAAGTTGTAGCATGCTTCTTTCACAAGGCTCACCAGTACCCACTGCAGGGATGGACCTCACTTGGCTTATCTCTCCATCTGTCCTGGCCACGTGGGTAGCTTCTACCCCCTGTGTACCGTGGATAGTGCTCCTATGGAGATGGGGGTGAGACATCTGCTTACAGTTCTACTTTCAGTTATTTGGTTAGGCTCGATGGATCAAATGGTAAACAGAATACTGTTTTCCAGGTGGCCAGAGTGCTTTCCTCTGCCACCAAGAAGCCAAGGTGGTTCTAATTCTTCCATACTTAGCTAACATCTTAACTTTGTATCTTTTTAAAAATAATAATCATTCTCTGCTTAGGCAGTGTGCAGCAGCTGGGGTTTGATCTGGCATGCTGTGTTGGACTTGCCCCCAGGGCACAGGGACTGAGCCTGGGCGTGGTGGGTGCGCCTGTAATCCCAGCACTTGGCAGGCTGAAAACAGGAGGGTCACTATGAGTCTGATCTGTGTAGTGAGACCCTGTAGACTCTGCACTAAATACATAAAAATAATAATAATTATCATTCTACTATGTATGAGACGGTGTCTTATGGTGTTTTAAACTTTCATTTTTCTAAAGATTAGTAACATTATGAACCTTTTCCTTTTATTGTACCTTTTCTTACAATATTTGGCATGAGATATTTTTAAGTAACAGTATTCTTTACTTTAAGAAGATGATAATTTCTCTCTCACAAACAATAACATTAAGAGGAATCCTGGTAAATGTTGTAAGCTATAATGATATTAAACTCTACCCAAAGTTCAATATAGTGATACTACCACTGAGCTACAGTTTTCCAGTTAGTCAAGGAGAGTACTTTGAAAAGTGCTCATATTGGCTGCTCTCTCATCTTTTGTTCTAATTCTTGAATTACTTTGTTTTAATCACCAAGTACTTTCAAGCAACTACAAGCTTCTGTTTTTCAAAACTGTGTCACAAGTTAGAGCAAAATGCAAAACCTTTCTCATGAGATGAGAGCAAGTCAGAGCCATGGTGTCCTTGAAGAGGAAGAAGAGGTAGTAAATGGTTCCTCTTATCAAGGTCTCTGTGCTTGTTGTACTTTTATTTAGTTGTATTTACTCAAAGGATTTCTGAGTAAGTATTCTGAATTAGGCATTGGAAGCTCAAAGAAAAAGTGATACAATTCCTGGTGTAAAATAATCTCAAACCCAGAAAGTTATCAAGCTTAGCGTGTGTTAATACTGAAGGCTATTTGCCCACCATCTCATGGAGGCACAGAAAAACAATGAAGTGAAATATAGAATGTGGAAAAGAGTTGTTAGATATAAGTCCAGGTAGTAAGGTGGATAATTAGAGCACTTTGGAGTATTCTAAGATATCAAATATGTAATTGAACTTTTGCTATAAATTCTTTTAAATCCACCCTCAGTTCCTTTTCTCTCTCCATCTACAATCAATAATCTTGGTCCACTTACTTGTGTCTCAATAAGTTATTTGAATGATTTATGTTGAAAAATTCTAAATACCTCACTATTTGTTGCTT